ATTAAGAGTAAGAGAAGTTATGGCGCTAGTGTCCTCTCTCCACTCTGACCACCAGGGGGAGAGGATAAGAAAGACATCCTATTGATGTCTGGATTTCAGTGGCACCATCCAAAATGTGAGGAGAAATTATCATTTTCCACACATTTCAAAATTGTTATTTTCAGGTCTGACCTTTCAAAAGAACTAAAATCTAACCTTAAACAGTTGAAATAATTTCAAATAGCATGCATGTTACTATGGTTTCCTAATGTAATATTTCACCTCCATGTTACATCAAAAATTTTAGAGTGGACTGATATTTAGTAATAATGAGTAAGGACAGATAGTGCTGATTGTTTTACATCAAAAAGTAAAACTTTTAGCTAGTTATTTATCTACTAGGAAAACTAGTATTTTATTATCTTACACATCGATGTTTTGCTATCCTTTGCATTTAAGAACCTGCACATGCAGGTGCTACCACATAGGATATATGGAAAGAGGATGAGTTCCGGTGTCAGTTCTATCACTGATTTCCTAGGTATTTTCTATCAAATCACTTAATTCCCTGAGAGGGGTGTTCCATACAGGATCACTCCCTCATGGTTCTCTTTCTGATCTTGACCACCACGGATCTCCTTCTTGTATGAACTTCTGAGTGATCTGAGAGCCTAGGTGATAGAGTATTTCAGTCTAGTAGGTACCCCTAATGTTTGCCAATGTGTTCCTTTTCCTCAGGTAACAGTTTTTTAAAATAGAGGTGGTGGAATTCTGAATCTATTTGAAAGGTAGAAGCAACATTTTTTGGATGGGTTAGGTGGTAGGGTATGAGAAAATGAAAGAGACCAAAGATGTGACTCAAGGATTTTAGGCCCTTTTGACTTCTGGAAGGATGGACTTGATATTAGTTGAGATGAGGAAGCTCAGTTTTGGACATTTTAATTTGAAATATTATTGTATAATCAAGTAGATAAGCTGAGTAGATAGTTGAGAGTGATTTTTTTTAGTGGGATAAGGAAGGGTGGGAAGAAGCTATGTGATAATTTTCTATTTATCCCATTAAGGGGTATCAGTTTTAAAAGACTGAGAATCAGTGCTTTAGCCCACAATGAGTGACCTGTGAGTTCTGAGTTCTTCAATGAAAATGTCCTGGGCAGGTGTGCTGTGAATTGCTGAGGGAAAAGAAGCTGAGAATCACCAGTAATAAAAGATGCTTCCTCCATATGTAAAGTTGTTTCCAGAAAGCTCTATGAAGAATTTTGTTAACTGGCACTTTTAGACACCTGCTTAGGAATTTAACTACCCTAGATAAAGAATTATCTCCAATTTCATTAGTAGTTTCCAACCATCACCTCCTGCTGGAGAAAACTTCTTCCCAAATGATAGAAATAACAAAAACAAAAGCTTTTAAGTGCTTAGCAGCATCGGATGCTTTTATGCAAGGGAGATGAAACATTAGAAAAGAACTAAAATTAGAACGGAGAAGGTGGCATGGACCTTTCACGCTGCTCGGGGATTGCCAGAAAGCAAATGAAGGCCTTCTTTTTAATTAGTTCACACGGCCTGGAAATAGGCCTCCTGAAGCTGGGGCAGTGTTATTCCGGCAGCCGTTGGACGCAGGCAGCGGAGGGGCACTCTGGCCTCCAGCCAGCATGAAGGCCAGAGCCGGGCAGCTGAGATGATGTGGAAGCTCCACGCTGAGACTCGGGGTGAGCTGATATGGAGGAAGTGAAGGGTTAGTGGGAATTATGTGTTAATTATATCTTTGTGGTTTATTTTATTTAAAAAATGCATTAAATAAACTATCTGGATTATTTATTGTTAAACTGAGTACTTTAGGTTGACTAAGTTTTAGGTAGCCAAAAGGAAGTAATGTTTATATCAAATGTCATATAATGTTTATATCAAATGTCACACACACACACACACACACACACACACACCCTATTTCAATTGCTTAAAAATATGAAAGTATCTTCCATAGTTAGATGTTGGAGTAATGTGATTTAGTTAGTGCATGCAGTTGGGTGGGAATTTGTTATTCTGACTGTAATTAGCTGAAATAAGACTATTGGTTTATTCGGGCAGCATAAAATAAACATGTTTACTCTGTGAGAAAGTGCAGGGGGCTGTGAGAGGACCTAAGAGTGTGATTGACCTCATGTGGGGTCTGCAATGCTTCCAAAGAAGAGACACATTTATTTGTCCAAATATGGCCATTGTGAGACCACGGAGGGAGTGAGAGTTGTGCAGGGTCTTGGAAGCTGTGTTCAGGATGCTGGTGTGCACCCTGAGATAAAGCCTTAAGAGCAGTATTGGCAGGTTTGTAAGCAGAGAGAAATGATATAAATTTTTTTTCTGTGTGATGTCTCCTATTTTTTTTTTTTCTGTGAACTAAAGCAAAGTCTTTCTTGGAGAGTGACCAATGAGGGCAGAGATCAGACAATTAAGGAGAGTGGAGAAAGTTTGAGTTAGCTCTTTGTTTAAACTCCTAGCAAATGGCTAGTATGTAGGCCTAAGGTTAGCATGGAAGAAAGGATAGTAGGTAGGGGTGGGTGTGGTTAGGGTAAGCTCTTTGGCT